TTTTAAGTCTGAATAATATTCTAACCTTATGGATATACCACATTTGTTTATCCATTCATCTGTTGTTGGATGTGGGCTGTTTCCACCTTTTAACTATTGAGAATAATGCTGCTGTGAACATTCCTGTACATGTATCTGTTTGAGGGCCTGTTTTCACTTCTTTTGGTATATACCTCTAAGTGGAATTGCTGGGCCATACAGTAATTTCACGTTTAACTTTTTGAAGAACCACTGAATTGTTTTTCACACAAAGCCCATGCTGTTTTTCAGTGATCAGTAGTGTGTTTGTGAAGCATGGTTATTTACCTATTAAGCTCTGTAGGGAAAGTTTGTGAAAGACTTTCTTATTTTCTAGTTTATTTTAGTCAAGCAGACAGGGAATTAAAGCCCAAACCTACAGGCCTAGCTAGCAGACACATTGACAGCAGGAATGGGCTAGCGAAGGGACCATTTTTTCATGTTACTATTCATCCCAAGTCAAGATCATGTCCTGGAAAGGAAGCAAGGGTAAGGAGAGGTGCTTTCAAAACTGAGACTTAGGGGACCCATAGCTCTGTGGCTCTTAAATGGCTAAGGAGGTCACCAGGTGTGATGGAAAGAGTATGGTCTGTGGATTCACTTGGTTTTTAATACTGGCTCTTATCATCGACCAGAAGATGACCTTAAAGTCACTTGATCTCTCTAATCCTCAATTTTGCATCCCTAAAATGGAAATAATGCCAACCTTGTAGGACTATTGAGAAAAATAACAACAGTATGTGTAAAACTCAGCACAATGTTTTTCTTGATATGAACTAAATGATAGTGACAGTTCCTGGAAGACAAGAAGGTAGGTAAAGGAGGAAGAAGAGGAGACTGAGCCCACCATGTCCTGGAATAGTGGTGGCCATACTTGTCAGCAAACGCCGGACTCCCTGAAACTATTCAAAAAACAATTAAATTCTGGCCTGTTTGTTCCTATCCTTTACTGTGAGAGTTTGGCTTCTATCTCAAGAGATACAAAAAAGATTTGTAAGAAATCACATATTATTCCTTTCAATATTTATTTGATATTTATTTATTCATGTATTGCTCACTAGCACTTACAGGCTAGACTAGGAGGTGGTAGGTTCCAAGAGTTTAAAATTAAGAAATGCATTATAATCAGTTTTAAAAATGCACAAGGGAAAATATCGTTGAATCTTTTTTTTCTATTTCATCAAAACATTTAAAAAATATATATTTTATTGTTTTTTTACAGAGAGAAAGGGAGAGAGATACAGACTAGAGAGTTAGAAACATCGATGAGAGAGAGTCATCCATCAGCTGCCTCTTGCACGCCCCCCACCGGGGATGTGCCTGCAACCAAGGTACATGCCCTTTACCGAAATGGAACCCAGGACCTTTCAGTCCGCATATGCTGATGCTCTATCCACTAAGCCAAACTGGTTTCGGCTCATCAAAACATTTTTGCCTATTGGGATAAGAGGACCATTGTTTGATATTGGCACCAAATCTCCACCGTCCACCTCCCTGGGACACTGATGTCGCTCAGGAACACAGTTTGAGAGTCCTGGCACCTTGGAGCCGCACAATGAATGATGGCTGAACTGAGCCATTGTTTTAGAAGTAGACGACCATAAAAAGTAGGTCCTTAAGTGAGAGATGAGAATTGGCAGAAAATACACTTAAACAGTATGATCAAGCTCCACAAAATTATTTCAAAGAGCATCACTAAATATGATGAAAATTAAATTCTCCTATGTTCTAAAATACTTGAAAAATAGAGCACAGTTTGTGTATCTTAGACTATCCAGAAGGAATTCTGGTTTTAAATTCTAAGAGTTTTTAAAAATCTCATTTAATAATCTGGCTGCTTTCCTACTTCTATCCCATCGGGTGGAACCATTTTTTATACTCCTTGGTATCCTTGACATAGTCAAACATTAGTAGGTGCTCGTTAAGCGTGTATTAAATGAATGGATGAACAAATGAATGATATGTGTTTTCCCATGCTATGCATCAGAAAGACTGGTGGTCACATTTCAGTGTTGCACAATATCGATGCTTAGTTTTTGAAAAAGCATCCACAGCTTCATCTCAGAGCAAAAGAGTAATCTGACACAAACACCAAGCGTGAATGTATAAATGTCAAACAAAGGCACAAAAGGCAGCTGCATGGTAGCCAGTTAGGATCTGAAGAGGATCGCCCTCTGTGAAATCACCGGTAAATATTCAGTGTAGGTTAGGAAAGTACAACAGGCAAGTACATTAATGGAGTAAGCTGATCCCGTTGTGGCTGTTTAAATTCTGTATCTTTGTGGAAGCTGTAGCAAAGAGAAATGGTTGCTGTTTCTGGTGTTTTAAGTCAATGATATCACTTTGGGCCTTCTACTTTTTCAGTGAGACTCTGAAAAGGAAACCTTTCTGATCCATTTTCAAGCAATGAATACATGTTCACGTGATGACTTAATGTACATGTGAACCTCTTTAACAGGATTTTGCCTTATTCTTTCTTCTACTCCAGCCGTAGTAGAGGCGCAGGAACAGAAGTGGAGTGAGTGCTGGGTTTGTTCCATGGAGGACATTATGGAACTCATGATGATTAGAGGATACAATTATAAATTTCTTTCCCTTTACTCCCCCTTGAGCTTGCATCCACACTGATTTTTTTATGGGGAGTGTATACATTCTCAGAAATATCCGTGCTCCCCTCACAAAGCAATGGAATCTTGCTCTAGAAAGGGATGGAGTGTGGTGATTACTCATGTTTCCTGGGGGCAGAACTGATAAATAGAAAGTGCTCAATAATTACCTGTGGAGTGACTGAATTGATAATAGTTCTTAGTTATAATGTCTTTAATTGTTTGGAAGCTGAAACACAGCTTTGTTAAATAAATCAATAAGACTGGAAGTCATAAGGAAAAGAAAATAATATGAGGCATTTATTATATGCTAGACTCTACATATATCCCCTTATTTGGTGTTTATAGTCCTCTTATGTAGAGCGTAGTGTAGCCCCATTTTACTGATGGGAAACCAAGGTGAAGAACAGTTATGTTACTTTTTAAGAAGTGGCAGAGCCAGGATTCAAACCTTCCATCTGTTCGATTCTAGCAACCACGCCCTTTCCTCTGACCACTTGCCACAATGGTCCATATTGTATACAGTTTCAGGGCATTTCAGAAGAAAACTCAGCTGGTTTCCTCTTAGGAGTCAGTGTCTCTCATCTGTGCAAATGTTTCCTGTCTTGAAAAATGCAGGTTAAACTAACACCATTTATAAACTATTTTGCAAAGGGGAAATGTCAACATTTTAAATATCTTTTTTAAAACATTCCTTTAATAGATCACTTTAATTGCTTAATATTTTGTTAAAGTTTTTGACATTTATGGTGATAATTGGATGAAAAGTAAACCACTTGCCCATGCAGCCCTCCCTCCTCTTTTCCTGGGCTGACACCTAGTGGCGAACTTTCTCACCGCAGTGTTAATCCTGGCGCTGAACTTTCTTCAGCGTAGTTTTTAAATTGATTTTAGGATTTTTTTTAAAACCCAGTTATTGTCAGCATAATAAAAATAGCTACACTAATATAAGGTTAATTTATTTGGGATTATCATAACAATGGAACTTTTATTTGATTTAACAAATTTTAAGTCAATTATAATCAAGCTTTGATAACAGAAAATGAAACAAGTATTTAAAATCCTGGGATATTTGTATCCCCACAAACCTGACCTCATAACCCCTGGGCTGTGGGCACTGGCTTGCACACACTGACAAGTAAGATTCCATCACTGTTCTTAAGGACAGTGCGAGGCTGAGGCGGAAAGCAAGCAGAGTTGCCCCGAGATGTGGTAACTGCCAGAGCGTAGTGCTGTCCAGGCATTGGCATCCAAAGGCAGAAGGAATCACTTCCGCCCGGGGCCCAGGGAAAGCTTCCAGGGAAGGATGAACCTGGGATGGCACCTTGTGGGAAAGTAGCATTTTCCCAGGAGCGTGCACAGGCAAGGGGCGTTGAAACTACGTGACCTGGTCAGGGCTGTGACCAGGGCACAGAGAGAGAAAAGGAGTGTGTCCAAGGAGGAAGCGGAGAAGGGTTGGGCTCCCGGCCAGGAAAGACCTAGAAGACCACAAGATGGTTTCAGCACCAATCCCAGAAAACAGCATTTCTAGAACAATGTTCCTTAGTAGATCCACATGATGTTGTTTTCTGCACACATGAAATTTGGAATTGTCATATAATGCATACTGTAACTTTTCTCTTAGATATTTAAATGCATATTATTGAAGCCTTGCTATAAAGAATCTAGCTAACTTGGTTTAAAAAGCATTTTTCAAAAGCCTGTTCTCCCCAGAATACCTATTAACATTCCATGCATCTCCTGCTCCTCCCCACAGTTTGGGAAATGCTGCAGTAGCTAAATGAATTTTTCTTGCTCTAAGGCCATGGAATTAGGATACCAACTGTGTTCATTTACCCGTCTCAAAGCTATGAACCTCGGAAAAGAAAAGCATGTCTCTTTTCCAAAGCATTTATTATCTGGCCTGTGGCCAACAGGTGGTCTTGAGGCATAGAGCCCAGCCACCACGTAGCTGTCTCAGCCCAGGACCACAGGCTGCCTGCCACAGGGTCCCCTTGGTCCAACAGCTTGATCAGTGTATCAATCAGGAGATAAGGAGGACAACAGAAACCCCTTCAGGTGTTTCCAAGAGAGAAAATAATTCAAGGAAATGGTTATTCAACTGATAGAGGGAGGAGCTGAGAGAATCCAGAGATGAGCAACAGCAGTGGTGGTTTCCTGGGTCCAGTGCTGGGTCACCTGACCACAGCTGGAACCTGTGGGCCTGTACAGTGGGTGTATGACTCGAAGAGGAGGAGAATGAGAACCATACCCCAGGCAGGGAGGCAGGAGACACACTCAGCTTCTCCCTTCCATCTTCCTCCTCACCTCTCACCGGGGCCTCCTCACATGTGCCAAAGCAAGCAGGAAGCCAGCTGACCTGAGAGCCCAGGGAACTTCTCTCCAGAACAGAGCAGGTTGGGTCTAAGATCAGACAAGCTCAGAACCAATCACAGATATTAAGGCTCTTCCATGACACACATAAACGCAGGTCAGTAACAAACATGTGAAGCTAAAAGCTCCTTGGTGTATCGCTAAAACTGGTGCTAATCTGGACTCTGCCTCTTCTCAACTGTGTGACTCCAGGCAAGTTACTGTACCTTTCTGAACCTCAGCTCCTCAATAGTAAAATAGGAAAGAAAATCTCTACTTAAATGATGCCTTCACAGGGCTCCCTTGACATATACTTGGCTGGTTCCTGTTTTATAATGAAACAAGAGCAAGGTATTTAAAACTTTTTGGGCTTAGCCTGGAGCTACCAGGAGTGTTAGAAATCCACAGACGTTGATTGACTGCTTCGAACTTCAGTGAATTGGCAAAGTTTTATTAGGTAGCAATTACTATCTAGCATGTGTCTAATTTCTTATCTTAATATATTCACTTCCTGGGGGCGTTGGAATCGGGGAAGCTTGTAAATGTGCAATGGAGTATTCAGGTGTCAGGAGGCACTCCACGTGTGTTGTAGTCACCCATTCACTGCAGGCTACGGAAACTGGAATTCCAGGAGAGCTGCTTCTTAAGAGATGGGGAACGTTGGAAATCACTACCTCTCTCAACCACAGGCTTTTCATTTGTTATATGGGGATAAGAATGCCACCCTCACAAAATTATTTTTAAAAGCCAATGAGATGGCAGACTTTAAGCCCTTGTTCTCTGGGAGGCAGCTTCCCTTTTGTCAGTGAATGCCCAAGTCACCAACAGTCACAGCCCAGGGAGGTGTGGCCTGATTGGGGGGAAGCCTTTTACTGGAGCTTATTTATGTTTGGTTTGCTGTTCCCTGTTAAGTGATGCCACCTGGCAGATCTCTACTCGCCCTGTGCTCATACATCGCAATTCACCGGCATTATTCACACGCCATTTGCTTAAAGCTTTCTTCACCCAAGTTCCTACTGTGATACATTCATACTCTCATCTTCACAACATTAAAAATGGTCTATAGGTTTTGAGAGTGGCCTGAGCAAGTCAGTGGCCAGCTTAAACGGTCCTTATCTATTCTTGAAAGGGAAATTTTATCCCAAGTTAAATAGTTTTATCCTCATTTGATGAGTGTTACCAAAAAGAAATATGTAAAGGAAAAAAACCAATATCTATTGAACCCTTACTTCTTGCCCTTTATATTTTCTTGGTTAAGTGTGCATGGTATTATCCCCAGCTTGACAGATAAGGAATTTAAAGCAGAGAAATAGTTTAAATCAACTTTAAATAAGCATTTACCAAGACCCTACTATGCCAGACTCAGTTCTAGGTGCCTAAAGACTCAGCAATGAACACACCAAGTTCCAGCCCTCAAATCTCATATTCTACATCATGCGTGGGGAACGTCCAGCCCACAAGTATAAGGCCAGCAAAATCATTTGGTCTGGTCCTGCCAAGACATTTGGGGTGAGTTAATTAAATGTTTTGACCAAATACAGCTAGCTAATTTTTAAGTTGATAATGTTGTATGGCCCGGGAATCCTATATAATAAAAGCATAATATGCAAATAAACTGAATGGCGGAATGACTGGTCAGTGGGAGGCAGGGTTGACAAGCAGGCGGCTGGTGCAAGGGAGGGGACGGCAATCGGGGGCAGGGCCAGCTACTCGCCAGCCAGCGCTGTCCCCTGATAGCTCCACCTCGTCACCTCCCACAGAGGGAGGCCAGACTACAGCTTAGGCCTGCTCAGGAGCGGGCTTAAGCCATCAGTCACACATCCCCTGAGGGCCCTCAGACTGTGAAAGGGTGCAGGCCAGGCTGAAGGACCCCCTGAAGGCACAAATTTTCATGCACTGGGCCTCCAGTGATGTTATAAATGTATAAATGGCCCTTGGCAGAAAAAAGGTTCCCCACCCTTGTTCTAAGTAGACACAAAGAGGAAAGTCAACATATAATGTGCCAGGTAGCCTAGGAAAGGGATAAAGAGAACCCCCCAGATGAGTGAGTGCTGGTAAGAGCTGGAGCCAGGATTGGGGGCCTGGTTTGTCTGCCTCTAGAACTCGTGTTTTTTCCACTGGTCCCAGGCTGCCTCTGGTCTCGTTGGTGGTGGTTTCCTGCATCTAGTCAAGAAACATGAACTCTAAGAGGTCACTTCTTCATCTGGGTTTGGTAATTCAGTGTGTCAGGGTGGTAACTTTGCCTTCCTAGGATTCAGAAAACATTTTTCTGCACTCCCTGCTGTCAGCAGCATGAAGCTGTCTTTTTCATCTTTCCAGTTTCCCAGACACATTTAATCTGGATGCATTTCGCCAGCCTGGACTCAAGCCCTTGAGCTGGGAGACCATTCTGCCCTAGAGAAGGGTCTCTGTGACTGCTGGGCTCAAAGGAACTCTTTGCCTCTTATCTCTCCTGCCAAAAAGTGATGTTTTAGGTAGCAGCTTATGAAATCTTAATATCTGTTTCCTGATCATTAGTTTTCAGTAAATCAGTTTAATTCCATAAGTACTAGTAGATACTGGGCACAGAGAAACAGATCCAATGTGGAACCTGCCCACAGAAGTCAGGTAGACCTGGGTTCTACTTAGCCGTTTACCTAAGTTTTTATTTTTATTTTTATAATTTTGAGTAAGTTAATTAATCCATGTGTGCTCCAGTCTCCTCATCTGTAAAAGGGTGAAAACAGATGTGATCTATCTCATAAGCTTATGCAGGTTAAATGAGATAATACAGCATGTGCCTAGCATATGGAAAGAACTTAATATTAGGTGGGTTTTTTTTAAAAATAACCTTTTTATTTTAGAGCATTTTTAGGTTCACAGCAAAATTAATGGAAGGTACAGAGATTTCCCATATATCTCCTGTCCCCCCACCCTCCTTGCATAGCCATCCCCTTTATCAACAACTAGAGGCCTGGTGCATGAAATTCATGCACTGGTGGTAGAGGGAATTGTCCCTTAGCCCAGCCTGCACCCTCTCCAATCTGGGACCCCTTGGGGGATGTCCAGCTGCTAGTTTAGGCCCAATCCCTGTGGGCAGTTGAACACCCTTCTCACAGTCCAAGACTGCTGGCTCCTAACTGCTTCTGCCTGCCAGCTTGATCACCCCCTAACCACTCCCCTGTAGTTTGATCGATGCCTAACTACTCATGCTGGCCCGATCACCCCCAACTTCCCTCCCCTGCCAACCTGATCTCCCCCAACTGCCTTCCCCTGCTGGCCCACTCACCCCTAATTGTCCTCCCTCCCCTGCAGGCCTGGTATCTCCCAACTGCCCACCTTCTCCTGCTGTCCTGATTGGCCACAACAGCCCTCCCCTGCCAGCCATCTTGTGGTGGCCATCTTGTGTGAGGGTGTGACTGAAATTTGCATATTACCTCTTTATTATACTGGCTATTTGTTTTTAAATATGTTTTAAAAACTCTTTAATTTAAAGCTGAGCTTTCTCTATTTCTATCCTATGAGGAAATAGTGTAGGTATGAAGTTTCATTTTTCAATGTAAAGACAGTATGTGTATTTTAATTAAAAAGATAGTAAGAATTCTCATCATGATATTATTTACCAAAAAAATGTTGATATTCAGTCTTTACAATATTTCCCACTAGATAGGTAATTACACATTTTTAAAGATCTTTACATTATAAAACTGATAAAGAAAACTGCCTTAATCAAATGAATGGCAAAACAAATTGTTATAAAACTGATACTGCCCAGGTCAAGAAATAGAGTTTCATTACCCACCACACAAACCCTTTCCATCAAAACTCTTCCTTCTGCCAAAAATAACCACCATCCTGACTTCCATATTTTTTTAAAAAGGTTTCTTACCCAAATATTTATCTGTAGAAACTAGAGTTTAGTCTTGTCCATTTGAAAAAATGATATAGCTTTTAATTCTCTTTTATCTTATATGTTCCTCCTCCACCTTTCATTTCATTACAATTTACTTGTTGAAGAAACCAGACCTATAGTTTTCCAAAGTGTAACTTTTGCTTATTGCATAGTCATGGTGCCTTTCGCCATATTCCTCTGTCCTTTGTATTTCCCTCTAATTGTCACTGGATCCGGAGATTGGATAGACTAAGGTTGAATCTCTTTGGCAAGACTGCAGGTAATATTTTTTAAGACTATAGGAGAACATAGCAGGTCTGGTTTGCTGACTCTTAATATCCCATGATACTTAATGCCTTTATTTGTTTATCCATTGGGAGTCGCAAAATGGTGATAGGGTTTAAATTTATCATTTTTTAAAATATTTATTTATTTCAGAAAGGAAGGGAGATGGGAAGAGAGAGATGGAAACATCAATGATGAGAGAGAATCATTGATCAGTTGCCTCCTGCATGCTGGTTCTCAAGGGCCAGATGATATTGGAATTTTTCCATAATTACTCATTTATTTTCATACACAGCTGCCTCAGTAAACAATTACAGAAAATTTTGTAACCTTTTTCCATCTTCTTTCCCTGTTCTCCCTCTGACCCCAGATTTTGGCTAGTTGAACTATAATTATATTGCTAGGACATACAGCCATTGTACACATGTGAAAGAACTTTAGGGAGTAAGAAAAATAATTGAGGGTAGGAGTTAGTGAGAAATAACTGGGGAAAGCAACAGTAGAGGGATACCAAGTAGAAATACCAAGACAATGCAATGATAATGTCTGTTTTTTTAAGTTAGGCGGTAGGTTCAAAGATGTTTGTTTTATTATTATGCTACAAAAAACAAATGTCAATACATGTAGTCTTTCTTGTGTAAATATAAATTACATTAACAAGTGAAACTCAGTAGAATTACAAAATAGATAGTATTAATAATTTTCTAGATTCTATAGTTTCCTAATATTATATTTAAATTCCAGCTCAGAGATTGCAAGGTCTAGACCCCTCTAGTCTAACACATTTCATACTTCTGAAGGATCTAAAAATGTGGCTTGACCCAGTATGTTGAGGTTCTAAATTTCCTCAAGGACCATGCAGGAGGATATGGCTCAAGTTGAATGTAAATAAATAGTCTCCCTAGGTCACAAATCCTATTCTAAAACCTACTTGACTGCATGCATCCCACACAAAGAGACCACAGCCACCAACCATAGACTCCAGTGGTTGTGTATACACACAATGTGTATAATTTTTATCCTGCCTCCATTACATAAAGCTCAGGGATGGCAAAGCAGGAATTCATGCTCCAGTGTGGTACCATTTCTTTCTCTGTCATTTAGAGGAATAATGAGGCAATCTCTATTGTCTAGAAAAAGAATGGTTTTATTATACTATTTCTTATTATCTATTAATTAGAACCATCCTATTCTAAACCTCGGGATGCCAAAGGATTATGGAATGTTTCCATAGAGTCCTTAGTCATGTTTGGGCATGCTGAGGAGAGTGAGTGAGTGAGCAAATGAAGTAATGAATGAATAAATGGACTTGTGCTATTTTCTTTTTAGTCAAGATAAGAATCCAGTTGAGAAAAAAAGCCCACCGTAAAAATAAGTAAAAGCATTATAAAATGTTTTTCAGAATGTGTATTGAGCACATGCACAGAGCTCAGCACTCCACAACCTCATGCCAATTAAGTGGTAGAACTCTACAATCACATGGTAGAGCTGTGCTTCAGACACAAGACTTGGAGGGTAAAGCAGTGACAGCATTATTGTCTGCATGTGTGCAATGTGGTGTCTTTGACTCATGCTCTGCCCTGAACTGCAATGGTAGTGGTTCCTTTTTTGTATACGAATACACATGAGAACCCTTGTGATTCATAGAAGATACAGTAAAATATGGGGAAAGAATATAAAATTTAAAGCAAGACAGAGGAGCTGTTATGAGGATTAAATGTATATTACCGTAATGTGTATAATGACCACATTGTAGAAACTCAAAAAAATGTTAGTTCCCAGTTTTCCTCCTCCAGTTACAATAGCCTTCCTGAAATATAGATCTGAATGTCAGGCTTCTAAAATGACTGTCCAGTGAGTGACGTACTTCCTATACTTTGGGGTGTGGTAAGCCAATTACTTTCTGTGGTGGCCAGTGTGTCTTTTAGTAAGAAGGGACCTTTTTTAAGGGCAATTAGGTAACTGCCATTTTCCAGGTTTCCCAGTGCAGATTTCACCTGATTCTTCAAAGATAGCTATGATAAAAGACAGACCCTACCTCCACACTTGAATCACATTCAGGAAGATTTCAGGCATTAATAGTGTGTTAGCCAACCGTGATAGATTGAGGTAAGAGTAGAGGGTTTGATCTGAATTGAAGAGCAGTCTACAAAATAGCTGGCCTGTACTCTTCAAAAATGTTAATGTCTTACAACAAAGGAAGACCCAAGAACTATTTCAGATTAAAGGAGATGAGAGACAGGACAACTGCATGCAATGTCTGATTCAGGATTTTCTTTTGCTGTAAAAAGACATTGGGATAAATACTGAATTCTGAATAAAGGCTGTACTTAAGTATTTATTGTAACAATGTTAATTTTTTTTTATTTTAGTGATTCATTTTACTATGATAATCTCAGAGATTCTAGGAAATATAGTCAGGCCCTAGCTGGTTTGGTTCAATGGGTAAAGCATCAACTTGTGGCCTGATGGGTCCCAGGTTCAATTCTGGCCAAGGCCACATGCCCAGGTTGCTGGTTCGATCCCCAGCAGGGGGCGTGCAGGAGGCAGCCAATCAATGATTCTCTCTCATTGATGTTTCAATCTCTCTCTCCCTCTCCTTTCTTCTCTTAAATAAGTCAAAAAAAATTTTTAAAAAGAAACATAGTCAGTTTGCTGTATTACCTGCACAAGATTGTTCTAATGCAAATGATATGTTAGGGAACAATTTGAGCATAATGTGAATTTTATGTTTGATTATGTATGATACCAACCATGAGAAATGCCAGGTGAATGCAGAAAACTGCACCCAGATGAACCAAGATGTGTAGGAATACACAGACCTCATACATGCACACCTCTAACACCTACCAGCTACCTCAGCTCATTGTGTGTATTATGAGCCTTATACCTCTATCCACAGCAGTGATACAGTTTTCCATCTTCCTTCCACCACTCCACAATCTATTCACAGACTGCAACCCTTCTGGAGCCCAGTTCCTGAGCAAACTTCATGTCTATTTCAAGGTATAATAGAATGACATTTATTATAGTATTTATATATTTCTACCCATTGAACATGTAAAAGTTGTGCTCTTGTTTTTATTAGGTGTCTATCTTATTTTAGACATGTCCCTGGTTAAATCTTTGAGCCTTGTGCCCTTAAGCATGATGATTTTTAGGAAAATATATGTCCCATTGTAGCAGAACTGACTATACTTCAGTATGCAGTGGTGAAGGGACATCATGTTTTAAATTTATTCTCAAATGGTTCAAAGAAACATTTTATACAGATAAAAGATATATAATATAGAATTATATAACTATGTGTATGTGCAAGCATGTGCACAAGCAAGGGGAGAGAGAAAAGGATAAAGCCATTGTGGTGAAATGTTAACATTTGGACAATCTAGGTGAAGGGTAAATGGGAATTCTTTTCATTATTCTTTTAATTTTTCTCTAAATCTGAAAATGCGATAAAAAAGTTAAAAGGGAAGAAAAAGAGTAGAACATTGGGGAAGATAAAAAGTAGTTGAAGTTAAAATGTGAAAAGTGAAGGAATAAACGGGAAGGGGAAATGCTCCAGCTGGGGAAAAGACCAAAGCAGAAAGAGAGAGAGAGGATCCTAAACAAACCTTCTCCAGAGTAGACTAAAATGTGAGCTTAGTTTGAGAAAGCTATTTGTAAAATATTTTAGGAAGACTACAGCTACAGAATGGGAAAGAGGCATTTTGCTTTTCCAAGAAGATATTTTGGGAGTCTAGCCCAGAAGACAGGAAAACAGAATAAACCTACATATATATGGAAATCACATAAATTAACAATTCTGAATTATTTGGTATCTTTATTCTTTTCCAAAACAATACAAGGGTTTTAATAAACTTTATTCATTGGACAACCCTATATGCAAATCTTATCCATATTGGATTATTAACTTCACTTTTTAAAAAACACTAACAATAAAATATAGACTGTAGTTCGTTTTACAATTTATCGACATCTGTGTTCACCATTGTTTTCCTGTGGATTCTCTTTTCTTCTTTACTATTTTTTTCAGCGAATATCACAAATGCTTTTGTCTTTGTATATGTAAAAATATCTTTATTTTGCTATGACTTGAAAAATAGTTTATCTGAGTATGAAACTACATTGACAGATTTCCTTCTGCCCTTTGAAGAGTTTTTTTTTTTTCATCAGTTTTTATTGGTGAAGTCTGTTATTCTAATTGTCATCCTAATAAAAAGGTATTAAAAAAATAAACAACCATGAAAAACAGTTGTTATTCAGGATAATGAAGGAAAGCGCTAGGTAAGAGAGTGGCACAAAAAGTGTGATTAATAGCCAAGATAGGGTAAGGGGGGCTTCCCAGAGGAGGAGCTACTCACTGGAAATGGGTCTTGAAGGAGTTAGAAAACAAAAGATTATTTTAAACAGGTGACAGCAAGAGCGCCCCTTTATAAAAATCTCAAGTTGTTCTGCGTGGCTGAAATATAGGGTGTGTCTTTGAAACATGACCCTGAGAGAAAGGAGCCAGTTTGTGGAAATCTTTGAAGGCTTCCCGGAAGTCTGGGCTTTCTGTGTAGTCAGCGGAGCCACGGAAGGATTCAAACAGGAACACTTGCTTTTCTGAAGACATCAAGGAGGTTGGTTGGAAGGAGATGAGACCGAGGCAGAGACCAGTGAGAAGGCTGCTGTAATCGTTCTGGGAAGAAAAACTGAGCTCAGAACTCTAAAGCAGTGGGAATAGAGCAAAGAGAACAAACCTGAGAGATTAAGAGATGAAATCAGTCAAAAATGTGGAGCTGGAGGGAAAGGCAGGGCTCTTGGCTGCCTTCTAGGATTCTGGCTTGGGAGTCAACGTGGAGGTTTTTCTCACTCCATCAGACTCAGCAAATATGGCAAATAGTTCTCTTCATCTCGGTTTCTGTCATGCAACCCTAGTCCTATTGGTTTTCTGCAAGAGCAGTGTCCCAGACAAGCTGCCCGAGAAAAAACGGCTTCTCTTCCTCAGAGGCTCGCGAGGAAAGTAATTCCAATAACATTGGAAACTTAGTTCTTCCGCTTTGGCCTCTGTGGAGGAATCCTCTCCTTTACACAGAAGGCTTTGATACTCCTGCCTTCAGCCTTCTTTCCTCAGTGTGGGCGGAGTGCGGCCATGTGCCTCACCAGCCAGCTCTGTGCTCATGCACCTCAAATGTCCTTTTTGAATAATTAGACTTTTTCACTTAATTTTAGAAAACATTTCTGAAGCCTGTTATGCATCCTGCATAGTGGCAGGTGCTTTCACGTGTCATCTCACTTAATACTCATAGCAACCTGAGAGATAGGTGTTACATCAGTTTTACAGATGGGGACCTGAGATTCTGAGACATTAAACAATCAATCCAAGGTCACAAAGCAGTCAGGTTCAGAAGCAAGGTTAGAAGCTATTCATACCACATAT